GCAAGATGTATGCCGAGCTGAGTAAAAGAACGTAACTAATCCTCCCACACCGCGTCACGCACGTTATATTGCTGTATTTCTCTGAGAGGTGGGAGCGAGCCGGAAATGGAGCCTTACGGTAGTTTTTCTGTATAAAAAATGGATTGGTTTATCTTGATCAGATTTGATTTCAAGTTTAATGTTTTCTGTATGATTTGTAGAGAGGGCAATGAAATCGACAGGGTTAAACACATGGGTAATCGTTTTCCAGAGTGCGCCTTCAACTTTCGCCTGTAGCGTCCAGAAATGGTCAGTTTTTCATGTACAGTTTGACCTCTTCAGTATTCAATTCAATTCAAGTTTATTTATAAAGCGCCAAATCACGACAAGAGTCGTCTCAAGGCACTTCACATAATAAACATTCCAATTTACAGTTCATTAAGCCAATCAGAAATAATGTTTCCTATATAAGGAACCCAGCAAACTGCATCAAGTCACTGACTAGTGTCAGTGACTGTACAGCAATCCTCATACTAAGCAAGCATAAAGCGACAGTGGAGAGGAAAACTCCCTTTTAACAGGAAGAAACCTCCAGAGGATCCTGGCTCAGTATAAGCAGCCATCCTCCACGACTCTCTCACACACACACACACACACACACACACACACACACACACACACACACACACACACACACACACACACACACACACACACACACACACACACACACACACACACACACACACACACACACACACAATAATGTGTCTATAGTTCTATTGTGATGTCTTAGTAAATATTCTATTTGGTGAAAGATAAACTTTATTGTATTTATCCTAGTGGATCTATAATTAAACGGGTAAACTAGTAGTAGCACATCCGACGTCAAGGAAAGCAAAAAGTTATTATCAGGAGAGGGAGAATGTTTAAGTGGTTAGCAGCAGTGTGCTAGCCGATGGCCCCCTCCATGAGGCCACCACAGCTCATCAGAACATCGTTGTAGCTTCTTCTGGGGAGAAAAACACTTAGAGAGAAAATAAAGTTAACAGCTGAAATAGCAGGAAATAATACAGTTAAAGAGCAGACTGTAGAAGAAAGCAGTAGAGTGTGAAAAGTGGTCAGTGTATCCTCCAGCAGTCTAAGCCTATAGCAGCATAACTACAGAGTTAACTCTGGATAATCTATCCTATTTAGATGGAGGCATGTTGGAGGCAGGGCAAGGGAGAGCCGTCTTTACCGACTGTACACTCCACCTCCCTGTACTCCCCCACTTGTCCAGATTTAGGCTAACATCAGATTTTAACCATAGACCCTATCAAATAAAAATGTTTTAAGCCTATTCTTAAAAGTAGACAAGGTGTCTGCCTCACGGACTAAAGCTGGGAGCTGGTTCCACAGGCGAGGAGCCTGATAACTAAAAGATCTGCCTCCCATCCTAAGTTTAGATAGTCTGGGAACCATCAGTAGACCTGCAGTCTGAGAGCGAAGTGCTCGGTTAGGAACATATGGAACAATCAGATCACTGATTTATGATGGAGCTTGATTATTAAGAGCTTTATATGTGAGAAGGAGGATCTTAAAATCTATTCTGAATTTAACAGGTAGCCAATGTAGGGAAGCTAAGACAGGAGAGATATGATCTCTCTTTTTAATTCTCATCAGAACTCTAGCTGCAGTATTTTGGACAAGCTGAAGACTTTTAACTACATTCTGTGGACTTCCTGAGAGTAATGGATTACAGTAATCCAGTCTTGATGTAATAAATGCATGAACTAGTTTTTCAGCATCACTCCTGGAAAGGCTGCTTCTAATTAGAGCTGAAACAACTAATCGATTATAATCGATTACTAAAATAGTTAACAATTTTTTTAGTCATCGATTAGTCGTTTAATAATCACATTTTACCGCATAAAGTCTATTTTTACCACAATCTGACATCGGTTGTAATCTGTTAAATTTGTTAAATCAGATCAAATTTGGGAGCTGAGTTCGTTATAGTGGATGTTAAACATGTTGTTTTTTTGCCGCGTCAGTTTACGGTGTTCTACTTCTGATTGACTAGATGCAATCGTGAATCTCCTCCGTGTTGTGAATCATGCGCTTGCCAAATTTAGCACGTCTGTTTATAAGAATGTTCTCGTTAAGAGAAAAACGGCACAAACCCATAACTATGTTCCTCATTCAAAAAAGGACAACTCCGCGGAGAAAAATATACAGACGAGCTGTGTCCAGGTGAATATAACGCGGCATAGTTGTACGCTTTCAAATTTTAAATACAGGAGAAATTCAGAAAGTCCTTTTTTTTTACTATTAAAAGGCTGTTTTACTATCTAACGCTGTAAAACGCTTCACAACACATTTTTGTCAAAATAAATGATCACTGTATATTGTTAATTAATTCAAATAATGTAATATTGATTTAGTGTTGTTGTGTGTGTGCTGCTTTATTTTATATGTGTACTTATTTCAGTTTATTTGTGTTTCTTATGCAGAAAAAAAACAAGCAACGATGGACAACTACATGGGGAACAAGACACTCACCCCCCAGCAATGCATACCACTTACAAACTCTATTCTAGAGTCTACATTATTTTTTATGGAATTTACCTCTTATATTTTGATGCCAAAAATTTTTCTGGACTGATATTTTGCACTGTTTAGCTCATTTTACACCGCTGACTGTGTTCATGTGCAATAAAATAGATTGCAGTCAACTGCACAATTCTCTTATGTTTTTCTTTTTCTTAACTGAAATGTATTCATCACTTGTATAGGTTAAATAGCTAAACAATAACAAACCGATTAATCGATTAATCGAAAAAAATAATCAACAGATTAATCGATTATGAAAATAATCATTAGTTGCAGCCCTACTTCTAATCTTAGCAAATTCCGAAGGTGGAAAAAGGAAATCCTACAAACTTGTGAAACCTGGGATTTGAATGACATGTCCTGGTCAAAGATAACACCAAGGTTCCTTACTTTGTTCTCGGAGATTAATGTAATGACATTCAGGTCAGGCGACTGGCTAAGCAATTTCCTTTTCTGGATTTCTGGTCCAAAGATGAGAACTACCGTCTTGTCTTGATTTAAAAGCAAAAAGTTTAGAGTCATCCAATGTTTTATGTCCTCAAGACAAGCCTGTAATCTACCCAACCGATTAGGTTCATCAGGGTTAATGGATAAATATAACTGGAAGTTTATCCCATGCTGTCAAATGATTTTACCAACTGGAAGCATATATATAGTAAAACTGGTGCATGAACACCTGTTTCAAACTAGTAGCACAGCATAGGTTTGGTGGCATAACTGAAGCGTTAGCCCTTGTGTCTCAGCCCCTCCGGTGTGAAGACACTCCGGGGTAAAGACATACGTGTCTACCTGTGCGTGTACACAGAGCAGGTACACAGAGCAAACAAACTCGACCCAGACGCTGCTCCATCAACACCTAGCAAGATGTGCCATTATCCTATACCTGTGATCACTGGCTTCAGAGGAAAGTCACACAAAGCAAACCGCTTTCGCAACCTTCAAAACCTCTGCTCTCTAAAACCAACTCCCCCGAAGACATCCACCTGTCTATGGGAATTTGGAACTGCCAATCAGCTGTAAACAAAGCAGACTTCATTACCGCATATGCAAACCACCTGTCACTCGAAGTACTAGCTCTCACTGACTATGTTTACATGCAGCCAATATCCGGTTTATGATCGGGTTAAGGTCGGTATTCGGGTTTCTGAGTTGATCCGAATAACCCGTTTACAAGCATAAATAGAAAGAGTTACCCCTAACTTGCATAACCCGATTTAAACGCGGACGTTGGGGTAGCGTCAGGATGTATGGACTATGTTAAGATGCAATATGCGTCATATTTTGCTGTCTCTGCACTTTCGACCGTCAACAAAAGACATAATGTTCATACTTTTCACCAGACCGATGAAGACAGAGGTTTCCTCGTCACTCCAAAAGTGTGGTGCTGTGCCGTGACTCGCCATGTTGCACCCAACTTGTTGTTTACTTCCGGTGTTCTGGCGCATACAAGACGTCTCGCCACTCAAAAGACCAAGATTCCTTGCGAACAGAGCATGCGCAGAACACACGCTTTGATGGGGATATCCCGGTATGCGTTTACACGACCAAACATTTGGGTTAGAAAAGGGTTACCCCAGGTGTAGTAACCGGGTTTTTAAAACCCGGTTATGAGCATATCTGGGTTTTTGGCGGTGTTTACATGGCCGTGCGGAACCGGGTTATTGTGAATATTTGGGTTTTAAAAGGGTTACTGGCTGCATGTAAACGCACTCACTGAGACCTGGATCAAACCATGTGACAATGCTACCCCATCTGCTCTCTTAGTTAACCACACTTTCTCCCACACTTCTCGTGCATCTGGCCAAGGTGGTGGAACGGGCATGTTAATTTCCAACAAATGGATACACAGTCAGTTGCTACCCATCACTAAATACAACTCCTTTGAATACCATGCCATCCAGGTGACTGTACCGAAAAAGTTATTTTTGGTTGTCATATATCGACAACCAGGTCAACTGGGACCCAACCACTTCTCCTCTCTTGTTGCCTCCACTCTTCCATCTCCCAGCACATTCTCTGCTTATGAAGTGAATGATGCCACCGAGTCACTCTGCTCCACACTCTGCTCTTGTCTTAACAACTTGTGCCCTTTAGCCACTAGACCTGCTAGATCCTCTCAGTCGCACCCTTGGCTAAATGATACCCTCCGGTCTCTACGCACCAATCTTAGAGCTGCGGAACGGAAATGGCGCAAAAAAAAAGATCCTGGTGATCTATTGAAATTTCATGAATTACTGTCCTCATTCTCTGCCAGCATCACTGATGCAAAGAAAGCTTTCTACACTGACAAAATTCTCAGCTCTACTGACTCTCAGAAACTATTTTCAACATTCAAAACTCTGCTCACCCCTCTGTCTCTACCTCCTACCAACAATCTATCAGCTGACATTTTTGCCTCATTCTTCACTGACAAAGTGGCAGCTATAAACCAACAGTTTATTCAACTGGCCACTCCTGAACATTCACTACCACAAACTCCTTCAAGCCCAACCATCTCAGGCCCTACTGCTTCATTTTCCTCTTTTTCCCCTCTCACTGAGAACTGTGTGTCCAAGCTTCTCACGTGCAGCCGCCCTACTACATGCCCACTGGACCCCATTCCGACTAAGCTGCTCCAAGCTATTGCTCCTACAGTAGCCGCAGCAGTCACACATGTGATCAATGCATCACTGACATCCGGTACATTTCCCTTCTCTCTCAAGCATGCTCAGGTTAAACCGCTGCTAAAAAAAAACCATCTCTTCCTCCAAATCATGTGGAGAACTACCGACCTATCTCGCTCCTCCCTTTTCTGTCCAAAATCATTGAAAGGGTGGCTTTCAAGCAGATAACAGAATACCTCTCACAAAACTGTCTGCTTGACCCTTACCAATCTGGGTTCAAAAAGGGCCACTCCACTGAAACTGCTCTGTTAGCAGTGACTGAATCCTTAAAAGAAGCTAGAGCGACTGCCAATTCCTCAGTGCTTATCCTGCTCGACTTATCGGCAGCATTTGACACTGTCAACCATGGCTTCCTTTTGTCCACACTCTCTAGCATGGGCATCACAGAGAAAGCACACGCCTGGTTTGAATCGTACCTCACAGGATGGTCATTCAGTGTCTCTTGGCTCTTTGTTTTCAGGACACCACCTAGACAGCCAGCGGTTGAAGGACAGCATGCGGCTAAACATGTCGTCACTGGTCCGATCAGGCAGGGGGCCAGAGAAAATTACGGAGTCCGACATTGTTTTGGCAAACTTACACACTGAAGCAACATTAATTTTAGTGACCTCCGATTGGCGTAACCGGGTGTCGTTACCGCCAGCGTGAATAACAATCTTACTGTGTTTACGCTTATCCTTAGCCAGCAGTTTCAGGTAAGATTTAATGTCGCCCGCTCTGGCCCCAGGTAAACATTTAACTATGGTTGCTGGAGTCTCTAATGCCACGTTTCTGACTATGGAGCTGCCAATGATCAGAGTCGGCTTGTCAGTGGGTGCGTCACTGAGCGGGGAAAATCTGTTAGAAACGTGGACGGGTTGGTGGTGGCCCACGGGCTGGGTTCTATGCTTCCTGCGTACCGTCACCCAGCCGGCCTGAGGTCCCGGCTGCTCGGGTTCCACTGGAGGATCGCTACGTGGTTGTTCTGAGCTAGTTAGCCCTACGCTAGCTAAGTAGCTACGGCTGTTTACGGGTTTTTCAACAGTGCGGAGCCGGGACTCCAATTCCGACACCCTCGCCTCCAAAGCTACAAAAATGCTACATTTATTACACGTACCATTATCACTAAAGGAGGCAGAGGAGTAACTAAACATCTGACACAGAGAGCAAGAGATAGGAGACGGAGAAGCAGAGACAGAAGTAGCCATAGCCGTGTTGAGGCTAAGCTAACTAGGCGAGCAACCCATTCAACACCAAATAAACTGCGTGCAAACTCAAATGGTTCCCTAAAAGCTAGGTGGAACAACAGAAATGTGTGTTTTAGCGTGCTTATGTGCTACAATAACTCAGGGATATCCAAGTACAGAGAAATTAAATCAGTTTTAGCGAGCCCCAAACACCAAACAGCTACGCGGAGTGTAACACTGAAAACAGGAAATGCCTTACTGCAGATACTGCCACCTACAGGTAATTTTTAACCTGCTTGTTATTTTATTGTGTACTGATTTCTTTTAATTCTGTTGCTCAGCCTATTTTATTTCCTGTACAGCACTTTGGAGTTACTTTGTACCTTTAAAAAGCTACATAAATAACATCATGAGAATTGAGTTGAGCTGAGGCTTTAGGCGGTGACAGATGTATTGAAAGGTCTGCCTGGCCATATGGAAATGCTTCATCCATTGGTCATCAGTGAAGCTTGGAGCAACCTTTTCCCAACAGTCACTAGCTTGTTTATGGACCCAGACAGAGGGCGAAGCGTGCTGAGCAAGGTCGCAACAACATCTAAAACGCAGACAGAACTCAAGTTAAAATAAACTCTGAACCACAGTCTAAATGTAATCTGCTTATTATATATATTATATATTTGACATCCATTAATAACATGTTGATGTTGTTTCGTTTCCTTTTTGTTCTCTGGAGCTTAAATATCAGGTGACTGTTACAAGCGGTTTCATCACATTGTAGTGTAATGGTTTATGGCTCTTTTATTAAAGAGGAACCATTCTACATATTAATTTGAGATATTAATTTTAATAAATTAATAACCAAATGTTATAGAGATAAGAAGACTCAAAGGTTGTTTTCATCGATAAACTGACGATCATATCCGTGTGTCTGTGTTTCAGTTCAATGAAGAGACAAGTTTGAAATTTAAGAGATTTAATTCTTCAATTAAACTGATTATTTGAAATGACAATCATAGGAAAATTAATCAACATTGGCAACCTTGTTGGACAATCTTTAACAGTTGATATTTTAAGCTTGCACAAATAGACCTTGTGTTGGATGTGCTAAGATTGAGGATGATGGAATTATGAATGCGTGCATGCAGGTGTCTGAGGTTGCTTCAGGGAGAGAGAAGGTGAATCTGAGTGGAAAATGATGGTTTGAATTAAACTTAGTTCTTATTAGAAAAATTGCATCAGAACACTATCTATCGTGTTCTGCCTCACCGAACTTAGGACTCCCTTTCGGATCCGGACGTCACAGGAGGATGTTTCATCCAGGGGACACCTTGGCTGGCAGAGAAGATGAAGGTGTGCTGACGATCCGGTCCAGAGTTGTCCTCGGTACACGTTGATGAAGCGTTTAGCAGATGCGCTTTCTCAAGTTTAAATTAACTCAGAAATCAAAGACTCTGGGACGAGTCTGCGTTAGCTGGTTGCATTTCAGCTATTCTGTCTGGCTTGACAGAAATAGCGTGGGGGGGGGAGAAAAGAGCCGACGGCTCCGTTCCCCGTTGGCGTTTGTTCAGCACGTCCGCTCTCTCCCGTTGTCTCTCTCGTTCTGACTAACTTACCAAAACCACTTCTCTTCCCAAAGCAAACTTGTTGTGCGTCACAGCAAATGTGTTTTGAGTTGCTGTGAATACAGCCCTGAATGAGCGAGTGTGAAGGTCATCGCTAAACATCTCCCAAAAACATTATTTAATTAATTATTCTGATTCATTATAGTTCATTATGATTACCCAAAGCATAATAATAATTCATTTGATTAAAATACATTTATAATGAGCAAAGTGATAAAATGATTATTTAGCATTAATAAACAAAGGAAGCGTAAGACTGTTTATTATGACTAGACTTCCTGTGAGAACTCCTTCTTCTGAAGCTGCAGGTGTTCTCGATGTTGTGGAGTCCTTCAGACTTGCTGTCTGCTCAGGTCTTAATCTGTGGGTGAAGGTGCTGCGTGACCCAGCTTTGACCCAGCCGGGCAAATACGACCTTTGGCACAGAAAACCCATACTTCCTCACGTTACAACGTCCATCTCCAAAAACTTCCCTATGCACTGTGCGAACAAAATGTTCCCCTGGGAAGGGTAGTTCTAGGAAATAATATCTAAGTGGACAGAACTACGCAGTCCAAATGCACCTTATGTGAATTTCTGTGTAGATAACACTGTCTCAACACAAAGAGTGAGGTGTTTCTTGAATAACAAACCCTGGTTGACCTCTGAGCTGAAATCCTTGCTGAACATCTTATAAGAAAATAATATTTTATAACTGGAGACAAAGAGGATCGGAGACGGGTCCAGAAGGAGCTGAAATATAAGATCAGACGGGCTAAAGACATCTACAGGAAGAAGCTGGAGAAACAGCTGGTGTAGGACAATGCTCGTGGTGCATGGAGAGGCCTCAGAAACGTCACAGGTCCCAGTGGGAGGAGTGGTGCCAGTGAGTCTGCTGATGGAGACCAGAACTGGGCTAATGAGCTTAACCTGTTTTTTTAACAGATACGACCCCACCCCGAGCTGCAACAGGTACCACCAACACCACCCCACTACCCCACAACCCCAACCCCCTCCCACCTCCAAATTTCACACCATACATCAGCCTCTCCCCCTCCACTGATCCCCCTCAGCACACACTCTCCCTGGGTAAAACCGGGTGGAACACAGAGGTCTCCCGATAGCTGCTGAAAGCCGGCAGCCGCGCAGCAGACAAGCGCCGCTGCGATCTGAGATGCGCAGAGCTGCCGCTGGGGAGAACCGGGTGGAAAGGCTTCCATCCCAGAGCTCCACAAGCCGGCAGCCCGCGCAGCAGACAGAAGCCACGATCAGACAGAGATGCGTCGAGCTGTGGGGAGGGGAGAACCGGGTGGAACACAGAGGTCTCCGAGAGCTCCACAAGCCGATAGTGGGAACCCAGCTCCACCAACATGTTATATTTCAACCCATTTTCTAAAGTGCAGCATTATGTTAAATGCACTGGGTTTTACCCTATTACATTTACATTTCATGGTTAAACAGTACATGTTAAAATCTAAGCTCAGCTCGGCAGTGACCTAAAATACATAAATATAATTTTACTTACCGAAATAAATGAAGTGGAGACTCCTTGGACGCTCTATTAGTGCAATTAATGCCACAGCAAGTCATTTTGTCCAACAGTTGCACAAATAATATCCAAACAAGAATACACACACACAGAGACTCAAAATCCCGGAGCAGTTTCCAGGCCAGACCGAGGCTCTACTGAGGCCTTTCCACGGAGCTAGCTCTGTGGTCACGTGGGTCTGATGCTCATTAATTATACAGAATTTTAGGCTTTTAATACACTTAAACAGAAGAGTGAGAAAAACATTCACCCCCCTCAGAGTTGTCATGAGTGTAAACTAGATCATTTAAACCTAAAACATGTTCTGGTACCAGGCTGTAAACATGTTTATTTCTGCTGTGTAATTGGTATTTTTAACATGGGAGTCAATGAGGATTTGCTCGCTTCTGACACCAGCCCCTAGTGGACGAGGGTGGAACTGCAATTTATTTCACTTCCGGGATTGCTTCAATTTTTGAGCCGCATTGTGGGGGCTTGGTTAATTCCCAGCTTCCAAAATCCTTTCGTCACTCTGTTGTTGGCTCTGTTATCCACTCTGCTGTGGTGTGTTGGACTGCAGGCCGCTCTGACCATCCTTAGAAAAAGGTAAGTGCAACCCGGCGCTTCAGGCCCGTCGGGTAAATGATTGTGTATATTAACTGTGCTGTCACATTGATTTTAATGTTCTTGCTATTCTTGCTAATGAAATGCACATTGAATTCTGTGTATGGGGGTTAGGGTTAGGGTTACCCTGTCACCTTCATCATCATCATCATCATCACCTTCATCATCATCATCATCACAATTATGGAGTTTGAAACATTTCTGGTGTCGCTGTAGGAGATTCGTTCTTCCATCTTGTCCTTAAAACAAACTTTTCTGGAATGATTTTCATTGGTTTGTAATTTTGACTGAAATAAAAGAACCTGAGAGCAGATTTATCTGATTTATTGAAATGGTGGAAAACAAAGTTACAGCTTTAAAGAAAGTCTTGATCCTCAGTCGGTTATCATGCAATAAACCAACGATTGTGTCATTTACTGTTTAAGTTCCTGAACAAGAGACACAGAAGTTACAGCCTCACATTTTTGTTTGTGAACTTTGTTCCTAAATCAGTGATTTGAGTAAAAACCAACATATCATTTTTAATGAATATAATTATTCTGGCAGTCTGAAACTTGGATGTGAACTACAACCCATGGTTCTGATGACAGTGGATCTGATCAAACATTAATCTTGTGTGGGTTTGATAATAATTACATAAATGAAATTCCTGTTCAACAACAAGAAACAGCTGATGAGCACATCTTCTGCTTTTCCACCTGCACAGCAGGATCTTCTCTCAGTTTAATGAAAACTATTTATTCATTGAATAAATTAGTTCTAAATTGACGTTTTAATGAAGTGATTAGCAGGCACCAATCCGAGCTTTAAATTTGTCCAGTCATCATCAGCAGATTATAACAGAAATAATCAACATCTAAAGATCAGATCATTTACTGACCGAGTCCAGAACCAAGAAGGAAAACAGATCCAGTCTGGTCCAGATCCCACGGACACGGAGGAAGAACATTAAAACCAAAGTGTTTCAGGTTACTTGGTCTACATGACAGAAGTGCAACCAGGCTCCTCTCACAGTCTTCTCACCTTTCTGACTCAGACTGGCTCCAGACCTGTTCACAAGGAGGTCCAGATGGGTGAAAAGCTGAACCCAGACATGTTCCAGAATATTCATCTAGTAGTCTCAGTCCCATCAGGTTCTGGTTTAGAGTAATCAGATTCAGCTGGGTCCAAATTCAAGAGCGGTAGGACTCAACCTGGTCCACGTAGGTCAGATCCTTCATCGACGGTGAAGACCAGAAGTGAGCAGCTGTGAAATTGAATTGACTTCCGATTTTTTCCCACCTTTACCTTGACATGTGTCCTGTTGCCTAGCAACCACGAGATTCTAAAGAGAACAAAGAGAAAATGAAGGCTTATTAATTACTGATCTTCTGCTGGAGGAGCTACAGCAGCTTTAGCGCCACCCAACAAACGCCGGACAACACGACTGACCTCAGCTTTTCATCTTCGTGCCACCAGAGTTCAACAAACTAACACTTGCTCTGTGAGTGAGTGAGTGAGTGAGTGAGTGAGTGAGTGAGTGAGTGAGTGAGTGAGTGAGTGAGTGAGTGAGTGAGTGAGTGAGTGAGAGATGTTTTAGCCTTGTTGTTTTACTTCACTACCTCTAACGTGAGCTGTCTTCAGTGAGCACGAAGCCCACGTCATGGTACACGTGTGCGATGACAAACAAGTACTTGAATCTTGAATCCTGTTTGCCTGCGACGATGCTGGGCTAGAGCGGGCCAGTGGGGATCCACCAGGTCCACAGAAAAGGAGGACACGTTTGGAGGAGGTGTCTTCACATCTGTCCCACTGATCTACTGACCCAGTCCAACTTACAGACGTTATATTGTTCTTAACGGAGTCACAACGCTGAAATGTTGATGTAGCGCTCCAAAGGTCAGCACACATGTGGAGCCCAACAGGATGGCAGGTGTTTTTGTTCAGCACCTTCTAGGGATCTATAACCCCCCAAGGCGCTTCACAACACAATCATTCACCCATTCCCACCCTGGTGGGGATGAGCTACGATAAATGTAGTAAAACTCCCTGTCAAACAGGAAGTGGCTAGGAAACCTGCAGGTCATGTCTGATCCGACACATTCTTCATCTCCCGGCTCTTGGAGAGTTCAGACGCTTTTGTCCTCCTCTCCTCCCTATCTTATCCCAAGGCTCTTTGTCTGACGTTGGGTGCACGGAGCTTCTGCATTTTTTCTGGAAACTGGAAATTATTAAAAATGGACCTGGTCAGCTGGTCTCTCAACACGATCGACAAGATTTTTTTAATGATGAGAACGGGAGAAGGGGCTCCCGGTTGCCCCTCTGGGACAGAGCCAGCTGGGTATATCATGGACTCCTGGAAACAGTAGAACCTGATCTGCCTCTCTCCACTGTCTGTAGAGGATTCTGAAGATGTTTGGATATTCGTGGTGTTGGGGTCAGGATTTCTGCTGTTTGGCCTGAGCGGTTACCTGGCTTACCGGAAAATTAATGAGCTGTCGAGGAATATTGGCTCAATCCCGGAGCTCAGGGATGGATTACACCGCGCTGTGAACACACAAACTCATATAATTGTCGAGATGAGTCGTATGCTTGGAACTTTGGCTGAGATTCAGACTCTGGCACAGAAGGTGGATTCGATCAAGGAGCGAGTTGACGGGACAGCACGGTTGGGAATAGATTAATTACGCCATTATTGGATCTAGAGGGGTTGGAGACCAACAGAACTTTAAGACAGAGAGGAAATTATCTCTGTCTGGCCCCAAAACAATTCTTATCTGAATCTGGTGCCCTTGTGCCTGTGAGGCTGAAGAGATTACTCCCCCTCAGAAGAAATGTGGAATGCTGCTGTCGCCATGGCAACTCTGTATCCCTATCTCAGCCTGGGCGGGACTGTGACCGGTGAAGGCCGTGGAACCGTTTCCAGAAGTCACTGTGCTCTCTAACCCAATTATCTCCCTCCCCTGTCCAAACGGAGGTGACGAGCGCTGCTCATCGCGGCTGCATGCACCGACGTGTGGAGAGTCCCAAACCCCACCACCCCACCTAGTGGACACTTATGTTGTGTGATGTCTGAAGTCTGTTGCATTTCTGTCTGAGGTGTTTTTTTGCAGAGCAAAGCTGCCCTCCCTGTGGAGGGTAACTCTGAAGTGCCTTTTTTTTCTCCACCTGACTCAATCCTCATATAAACCCTCTGACCTCTATTAAGGTAGCGTGACTCGGGTTGCGAATGACCACAGTCACCAGTTCTTGTCATGTGTCTATGCCTGTATGTCTGATCTCAGAATTGTGTGTACTGAAACTCTAATTCCCTCTGGGATTAATAACGTATCTTTGAATTGATTTGAATTTACAAGAAAAATGGGTGGGACTAAGGGCGGAGTTTTCTCCTGAGTGAGTGAGTGAGTGAGTGAGTGAGTGAGTGAGTGAGTGAGTGAGTGAGTGTGTGTTTTGATTTTCTCCCACGAATCAAAAACACGCAACTCATCTTGAAAGTATGAAAACTAAGAACCGTGAAATAGTCACAAAACAGTCTAATGTCTCATTCATGTTGGCAGGAAGGGTATACTGACATGGTTACTGTTCACAGCATGTGAGCCAATCAGATTGCTGAGTCTGCAACAGCAAATGCAGCATTTGTAATTAGAACCCATCCAGTAAAACACAGCAGTAACATCCTAAACCAGCAAACTGGAGCGACCCAGAAGTTATTTATTGTACCCCTAAGAAGCAACAGCGTGTTTTTGTTTTACTCTAACATGAGGAGAGGCAGGCTAGAGGCTAACGTTGAGCTAACGTTGAGCCAACGATGCTAACAATGCTAACAGCTCTACAAATATCTCAAGCTTCCTTTTCATGATGTCATCCTGACTTCACTCTTTCACCATGCAGTCTTTTAACTGCAGGCTGTCCCTGTGATGGACTTGAGACCTATCCAAGAGATTTAGATGGTGAGTGAGTGAGTGAGTGAGTGAGTGAGTGAGTGAGTGAGTGAGTGAGTGAGTGAGTGGCTAAATTTAACAAACATCCAAGCTTTACACCAGGTCCAGAAATTAAGAAGAAATGCAAAACTTCTGAAAGATTGCAAGCTCAAAGGTTGAGTCCACACATCAACTGCAGACATCACAAGCATCTGGAGATCAACAGCACTGCTGTCTGTCTGACTGACGCAGCCTTTTGCTTCTGGCATGTCTTATCAACGGGAGTGAGCTCAGCTATGCTCACTCAGCAGCCTGATGAAGGGAGGAGGGGGGAGCAGATTCTGACCGGTCGCTGTCCATGGTGCTGATCTGAGCCCAGCAGAGCTGGCTCCCGGTGCTGTAGAAGCCCAGCTGATGTCCGTAAATGTGGATGTCAGCCATGTTGACTTTTTAAAGCCAGAAACGGAAATGGGACTATCCCAGTAACATGTTCCACAGGTCCATCACAGACAGATCTACAGCTAAGTTAGCTGTTTGGTTCTTTTGGACCACAGCTCCCATGTCCTGCTGGGATGAGTCTGGGATGGATCAGTCAGGCTAAAAAGAACTGAACCTGGTTTCTGGTGTTTGGGCCCAGAGGAGGTGGCAGTGTTGGTTCTGTGAGAATGAAGTCAGAAATCCTAAAACTAGAAGTAAACCACAGCAGAATACTCACTCGGCACCTAGCCTGGCCAGCCAGCCCCATGCTTCCCTATGGGAAGGCTGGTACTGCTCCCATTGAAATAACCCCACCCCCTGAGAAGTCCAACCGAGCCAATCAGCGCTGAGCACCATGACGCTGAGTGTCTCATAAACATGGCGTCTGAAGCGAACTTCGCTGCGGTTCTAAATGACTTGAATGTCTTTAAAACAACAAGAAGAAGCTAAAAGACTTTCTTCTACAGGAAGATGTTTGCGCCATCGCCAGACGCCATTTTTCACTACAGCAACAAACTACAGTGTCACACGGTACAGTCAGCATTTCCCCCTTTCTTCTGATTGGTTATTTTTGAGCTGGCTAGTCCCGCCCCTCATGTGCCTCTCTGCCTGTGAGGAACCAGACTCTCTCTCTGTGTAGAACAGAGGACGAATCTGGTAGGCCAGGCACCTAGAGCCCAGTTCATTACAAACGTGTCTCCTCAGTATTTTACAGAAACAGAACATCAAGCCAGTTCTCTCACTCTGACTTTTATTAACTCACCTGAGTAGATAATCAATCAGCTGATCTGTAACTGTCTGATTGGTGCTGATGAATCTGATCAGCTGATTGGAGCCTTTAGGTGGTTTAAAACCAGCTGTTTATTGATCCGGTAGTGTGTGAAGCTTTAAATGAGCCGGAGAATCTGGACAGGAAAGACAAAACACTGATTTCTGATGCTAACAGCGATGCAGGTGAACTGAAGCTGTTTAGGTCTGGTTAAAGGTCCTCTATCATGGCAAATGCACTTTTTTGAGCTTGTGACCATGTTATTGTTATTTCCTCATGAATGACACCACTAAGTAGTTTTTGGCTTCACACGTACATGTTCCTGTCTCAGCTGCAAATCCTAGTCGGTGTCCTGCAAGCTGCATTCATCAGGATGTAGTTGTTGCTGTTGGACAACGGCCCGCTCCTCCCCATCCAGGTAAGCCGGATACCCTCCTCCCCTGGACTGTAAACACTAACACCCAGTCTCTCTGCGTAGCTAGCAGGGAGTTTAACCTCCACAGCTTTGAAGAAGTGATTTCATGATCTACATGATCTGCACTTTCAATAACACCTATAACTCAGAAATGGATTCTTGTCTCAGAGGAACAGGATCCCTGTCCAGTCTTCCTGAAGAGGAGTTTCATCTGCAGAAATGGTTGAATTTTATCTTCAGGAGCTCTCAGTCACCGAGTCACAGACTGCTTGTTAAACCGCCACCAGTACCGGAGCGGGTTTTCAGATGGGTTACTTATTCAAACCAGCACCATTCCAACATTAAACCACTTGAAGGACAGACAGCGTGGAAACGCTAACGGCTAGCTGCTAGCTGCTAGCTGAAAGGTTACAAAGTTCAGAGACAGACTGGAACAAGGATTCAGGGTGGACATTTGCTGCCATCTGACGTGTGTGTGTGTGTGTGTGTGTGTGTGTGTGTGTGTGTGTGTGTGTGTGTGTGTGTGTGTGTGTGTGTGTGTGTGTGTGTGTGTGTGTGTGTGTGTGTGTGTGTGTGTGTGTGTGTGTGTGTGCAGCTGTCTGTAATAATAAGACCGTTTTTGACACACCACCGGTGAGGGTAAGCTGCTACGTGGCCTCAGACGCCCTGGGGCGGTCTGACAGAGGTAAAGCTGCCATTTGTGCCATCGGCCCCTCTGACCACCAACAACACAGTCAAGTTGGGTAAAGTGTCTTGCCCAAGGACACAACAGCAGAATACCCTGGTGGGAGCTGGAATCAGTCCTGCGGTCCTCTGGTCGGAAGGTCGCCTGCTCTACCTGCTGAGCTGCTGCTGCACCAATTACTGTGGAATTCATACAGGTGGAGGCGGGGTTTCATCAAATCCAAGCATCTTATTTCTGGGTTGAAGAAAACGACTCATATTTAATGAAGAATAACATGTTGATGGTGACAACAGCAATAATTTGTCATATTTGTAGCTCTGGAAAGTGTAGCCTAGCATGATACAGGTCCTTTAACCTCAGCTGCTAACAGGAGGCACTTCAGACATTTCTTCACCAGACCAGAGTCAAGGCACTGAAACGCTATTTAGATTAAAGTCTGATCAATCTTCTGCTGCTTTCCCGGTTCGAGAAGACCAGATTCAGGTGAAAATCATGTAAACAATCACGTGCATGCCGTCAGAAAAGCAGAAACATGAAAACTCTAAAATATGATTTTAAAGAGATTCAGCTCTTTTTCAGTTATCTCCTTCATGCACCATCTCTCTCAGAAAACACCTGATCTTCATCCTCGTCATCCTCATCCCTGCAGGCAGCTTAATACTGATGTCATGCACTGAATCTGATGCTGAAGGTTCACCATGCCACCATCTTCAGGTCCGGTAAACATTCAAAATGCTCAGGACTGATGAGAGACTCCAGAGCACCTCAGGTGGAGCCGACCCGAGGAAGTCCAGGAGGATGAAGACATGAGATGAGGTAATGTTGTGTTCATGCTGAGAACGACAAGCAGAGTCTCCACATGCGTCTATATAAAGGAGTGTTGCATTCCACCTAGCTGCAGCAGGAAGCCCCCCCCCAATCCCATAAAGTGCTGCTGACCTTGGACCATCACAGACGGGTCACAGAAGAACCCGCCAACGCCACCCTCAGCGCAGGTGAGGTCCTTACGCTGGGCAGGTGTCAGTCCTTTCTCTAATCCAATCAAATAGGTCTCGAGTCTTTTTCTATTGTTCTGCTAAATATGTAGTTGTGTTAAAGTTTTTAATACTGCGTATTTAACTGTTCAGGCAGGTTTTGTGTCTTTCCCTCTTAAATAAAGTGCTTCAGTAGAAAAGGAGGTGATGATTTTAAGAATGGCAGTTTGAGCAGCCTCCGCCTGCAGGATTAAAGGGCCACCGCTCTGTTTTAGCCCCACCCATCCAGCCTGACGTGGCGGCGTAACCCCCGAGGGTTCACATGAAGTAACGACCTAATCCTGGAATGGTTTTCCCAGATTTCAGCCATATTTAAATGAAGACGGATAAACTCTTCCCGTGAGCTAATCGGGGCTTCAGGAGTAAGGAACTAAACCGTGGTGGTCTAAAGCTTGCTCCGTTCATTTCTAACCCGGAGGAGGAACACCTGCTCATTATTGCACCGACAGGTCTGTTTGGCAGCATTGTGACTGCATGTGTCCTCGTCAGAGCAGAGAAGGGAATAACATGTCCTGGTGGAGGTGAAGCATCCGTTTCTACAGTATTTACAGAGGGGTGGGCTCTGGTTCACACGTCTGTGAGCAGCTTCCCTTTGTTCACACAGTTCTGACTAGGAGCCGTGCAGTTGGCCGTCTTCAGGTTAGCTTCTCTAAAGTTATCTATGCTGTTCTTCAAGTCCTCGTCAATCTCCATGTACTCCGACTTGCTGACCACCGAGGAGCTGCGACGGCTCGAGATGGTTTCTGACACCAGGTTCTGGTTGCTGATGTTGAGCAGCTGAGCCTGCTCCTCGCCCTCGGTCTCCCGGTGGTAGAAGTAGTTAAAGTTGGAAACGATTACCGGCACTGGCAACGCGATGGTTAACACACCGGCAATGGCACAAAGCGAGCCCACGATCTTCCCCCCAATGGTTACGGGGTACATGTCCCCATAGCCGACGGTTGTCATGGACACCACAGCCCACCAGAAAGCATCTGGGATGCTGGTGAAGAAGGACTCCTTCTCCTCAGCCTCTGCAAAATAAACAGCGCTGGAAAACAAAATAACTCCAATGAAGAGGAAGAAGATGAGCAGCCCCAGCTCCCTCATGCTCGCCTTCAGCGTCTGCCCCAGAATCTGGAGCCCTTTGGAATGTCGAGACAGTTTGAAGATCCGGAAGACCCGCACCAGACGGATCACCCTGAGAATGGCCAACGACGTGGCCTGCTCTCCACCGCCCCTCCCCTCCTTGTTGCCCTGGTCATCAGCCAGCTCTGTGCCGAGAGTGATGAAGTAGGGAATTATAGCCACAATGTCAATCGTATTCATCATGTTTTTAAAGAACCCTGCTTTGCTGGGGCAGGCAAAGAACCGCACTATCAGCTCAAAGGAAAACCAGATGATGCACAAAGTTTCCACCACGAAAAATGGGTCTGTCAGCACGCTGGATTTGTAAAACATGGTGGTGTTGCCTACCACGCGTATCCGGTCATTGGGATCCTCCTTCAGCTCCGGTAAAGTCTCCAAACAAAAGATGACAATAGAAATGAGAATAACCATAACGGAGACGATGGCGATGCCCCGGGCCGGCCCGGAGCTCTCCGGATGTTCGAACAGGAGCCAGATCTGTCGCTGAAACTCCTTCTCTGGCAAAGGTCGTTCCTCTTCCCGAATGAAACCCTCATCCTCCCGAAATTTCTCCATAGCCTCTGCTCCAAGTTCATAAAACTTAATTTCCTCAGAGAACATGTCCAACGGGACGTTGACCGGTCTCCTCAGGCGCCCTCCTGATTGGTAGTAATACAAGATGGCATCAAAACTTGGACGATTCCGGTCAAAGAAGTACTCGTTTCTCAAAGGATCAAAGTATCGCATTCTCTTCTTCGGGTTCCCAAGGAGTGTGTCTGGGAACTGGGCTAGGGTCTTCAGCTGGGTCTCGAAGCGCAGCCCGGAGATGTTGATGACCACTCGCTCACAACAGTCGTGGTCGATGTGGTCATCGTCGGGCGGGTAGGGGTCCTGGGGGTGCCCAGGCAGGGTGGAGGTGTCATCCATGTTCTCGGTGGATACCACCGTCATCCTTCCCGGTGAAGCGTTGGACAGGAGGAGGACGTGGCGGAGATGTTCCTACTGAGGCCAGGAGATGTGCAGAGCCTCCCTCTTCATCATCATCCTCATCAGGCCTTCCTCTCTAAGCTGAGCCTCATCTGACACCTGAAAGGTGAAACAATGAGACTCAAAACGGACTCAACAAACCCCAGACCCGTTGTCATGGTGCGATGGAGGAAAACCCGCAGCAGCCTGCTTTTACCGCAGCTCCGCTGCGTCGTTCGTCTCTGCAGCCGCAGATCAAAGCAGACCCGCTGCGGAGCGGCCACGTCCCACTCACCTGAGCAGGAAACAGCGGATGTCCTCCGGTGGCTCACCTGCTTCTGACCTGGCTTCAGAAAGACTTTGAAATATTAATGGGTCATGTCGTGTCGGTCCCCATCCGAATCCCGTCGGTGTTGGCTTTCATGCTGCAGGAGGAGGAGGCTGAGGACGGCTCGGAACCGCGGCGCAGCACAGATCCGCGCTGATCCATAAAAGCATTCAGGAGGAAGAAGCTGCGGCTCCGGTGCTGCTGGGCGGACCGAACCGTGCAGCACCAGCAACACCGCTAGAGGAGGAGACCCGGTCCGTCTCCGCGCCAATTTGGAAGCCTTGCGCTCGCGCGTGCGTGCGTGTGTGTTGGGGGGGGGGGGATCGGCGCAATGCAGACAGACCGTGCGATCAGGTGGACCTACAGCCGGCTCTGTGACAGCACAAACTGTGGGTGCGCGAGTGGAACCGAACCCACCCAGACCAGAACTCAGCTTCTGCTGATGTTCCGAACCGTGAGAGAAGAGTTCGGAACCGCAGAGTGGTGCATTCTGCCGCTTACGTAACAGTGCAGCTTGGTTCTGCTGCTGAGCTCCAACAGTCCGGTTCCGAGTCCAGAAGCCTGACCCGACGAAGCGTTAGTCAAGTCTGCATCCACATCAGGCTGTTGCCATGGCAACGGGAAAACCGCATGGAGTTGGAGCTAAAAAAAATATTGAAACCTAAATAAAAAAATTAAACAAAGCTTGAACATTAAAATATGAAATAAAAACAATGAAAACTTTGGTTCTGTTCTGGCTTAGGATGGTTCAGAGGTCAAAGGTTACAACGTTCCTTCCCCATGACCTGTTAACCAGTTGGGAAGTTGCACATGAAAAACATACCTTTATACTAGTAACGTGTTCTCCATTTGCCTCCACGATGGTTTACAGGCAGATGAATAAAAAATTACATTAAATTATAGTAAAAATGTGTAATTTCATCTCACATTCCTGGTTTTAAACCAACAGCTAAATTCAAGCAGGCAGAAATAAATATATAACAATACTCACTGAATCAGAATCAGAAGAAGCTTTATTGCCGGCGCTCCAGCGACCCAGAGCATAAGAACTTGAGTCCGCAACACAGCCTGGCCAAGGTTACACACACACACCACACACACACACACACACACACACACACACACACACACACACACACACACACACATGTAGACAAAGACCGGTACAGGCAGTCCACGAGAGCAGCCCGCATGGCGCTCACATTAGTCTGTTTAAATAAAAGGTGTCAAAAACGTGAATATTTCATCAAATGTATTCCCCCCCCCCTCCCCCCCCCCCCCCCCCCCCCGTGTCCTGTCTGGCTGTGAAGCAGCATTGACGTCTGAATGTTGGTAACAAGCCTTACAGATTTACTCTCAGGTGGAGCATCAAAGTGTCTGCTTTTAATGTCACGCCTGATACTTCAAACTTTATTGTTATTGTTGAATGCTTTGTAATTCCGACCAGACACGGAGTCGGAGGTGAAAGAGAAAGGAAAAGACAAAATAAACAACCAACAGGGGTCTGCTTCTAGACCTGCAGAAAAGGGACACACAACAATACATCAGGAGCAAGCCATCACTGCGTCAGCCTGATGATGAAATATAAAATCATCATTGTTTAACTGAACAATCACACGATAATAAATCACAGTGCATTTAGTGCCAACCACAGCCTTGAGACCTGTGTTGAACGTGCCCAAGTCCATACTTATGAGAGCACCATGTGAGCACCTGTGTGTGTACACGCGCTTGTTGATGTAAGGTTTCTCTATAGGAGCGTCCAACAGAGAGTGTGAGGGACCACAGATCCGCCCCCTCGAGAGGCACAGAGGATCGCCCCGGGGGGCCACAACCAGCAGCCGGCAGTGTGCTGGGAGATGTTATTGTACCCAGTAAGCTTAAAGCAGACCTCCATCTTCACCGGTTTGAGATGCAGGCTCCTACGCCACAGCCCCTTTGCAGCCGGGCTTCGTTGCTGCTCTAGCAGCGGTAAATTGATGTTGAAGCTTGCAGTGGGATAGATGAATCAAGATGGCCTCTCAGCAATCTTCACAGCAGTAGGAGTGGTGAAGAGTACTTGGAACTGACCTTCTCTCCCCTGGCTGCCCCAATTTTCTTGTTTCAGCACCTTAATCAGAACCCATTTCCTGGTTTCACGACCTGTGGGTGAAAAAGCACAAGAAAATTCTGGGAGATCACTGCTGACTTAGACTTGTTTCCAGCAAAAATCCTTATCATCCAATCTGCCAAAGGATGTCCTCTCACTCTGGGCTAGAGGATTCGTGACATGTGGCAAACAAACAGACCACCAGAGGGAGCTGTTTTAGCTCGAACCCGAAGGTCTCAACACATCCGATCATTACCTCAACACAACATGTGTTCTTTTTCTTATCTGATAACAGAGGCACACAGGTGGTGCATAGCGCCGCTGCTACGTGTTAATGCATCATTCTTCTATGTCGGATCCATTTCATTTAGATCTGTGAAAGCTTTATGAAGTCCATGTGGATTGTGAGAGTTTGTGTGGGAAACTTGTTATCAGTCATCCCTCCTCTTGAGACATCAGAGCAGCAGTGGCATGAAAAGGTCCGTCACTGGCATGTAAGACATTGTGTATGTAGGCACATGAAACTGGTGGATAGATCTTTGGTACGTTCCTGCCGTGTTTGGCTTCTAATTCCATTTTTGGTTCTTTCTAAAACACAGGAAAGGTTTCTCTTTACCTTGCTGACGTTTCGTTTGTGGCTGCAGACTTCCTCAGAGCTGACGCTGATGGTGGCGTCACTCTGTTTATCCGTGGGCAGCAGAGGACGCTGTCACCCGCTGATGCCCGCTCTCCCCTCTGATGATGCAGTCCCTTGCACGATCCAACGTGTAGACCCCATCATCCCTGTTCTTGGTCCCACATCCACGTAACATCAGAGAGCACTGCTCAAGGAGAGGATAAGGAACGTCATAACCAAACAGAGGCGTGTGGAGAACGAACTGGAAAGAGGACACCTGGACTTGAAAAGGAATTACAAACTTGATAAACAAATGGAGGAACTAATTAAAGGACACATGATGGAAAAACAGGAAACAGAGTTCATAAAAGTTAAAGAAAGACACATAAAGAAGTTAAACAAACTCATAAACAAGAAAAAGGAGAAATACAAGATAACTCCACACCAAACTCATGGGTATGTAACATTTCACAATACAAACTAACAGAAGCAGAAGAGAGCATATTAAAGAAAGGTTTAAACTTTGCAGTCACACCAAAAGAAATACCATATGATGAATTTATCGTAGCAACAGAACTAGCATGTCAACAGATCACAGATGAGGGAAAGAAAGCAGAACTCAGAAATAACGTAGTTGGGATATTAAAAAACAGCCAAATTCAACACAGCAATATTACAAAAGAAGAACAATCAGCCATGACAGCTTTATCCAAAAATGAACAGATAATTATTCTACCGGCAGACAAAGGAAGAACCACAGTAGTTATGGACAGAGAAAAATATAAACAACAGATGAAACAGATGCTAGAAGACAAAAATACATATGAAATACTTAAAAAAGACCCAACAGAAAACATTAAGAAAAACATGAAAAAAGCAAAATAACAGAAAAAATGTACAAACACTGGATTCCCACAGCAAACATAACACCAAGAATATATGGAACACCAAAAATACATAAACAAAACACCACTTAGACCAATAGTAGACAGCATAGGTACACCAACATACAACATGGCAAAAGATATCAGCAGAATCATCAGCCCGTTATTAGGAAACACAGACCAACACTGCAAAAACAGTATAGAACTGGTAAAAGAACTAAAGGAGATTACAATAGAAGACAACGACATACTCATCTCACATGATGTCACATCCCTGTTCACAAAAACACCAACCCAACAAACCATAGACATAGTAGTTAACAGAATCAGACAAGACAAGACTTTACACAAAAGAACAAACCTCACAGCAGATGACATAGCACAACTGATAGGACTGGTAGCTAACTCCACTTACTTCACATACGACAACACAATATACAAACAACTGGAAGGCTTCGCCATGGGTAACCCGTTATCAGCCACCCTGTGCCAGTTTTTCATGGAAGACCTGGAGCAGAAAGCCATAGCCACCGCCCCCCAAACTGTAAAATAAAACTATGGAAACGCTACGTAGACGACATACTGGAAATCATACCAACAGGACAAACAGAAACACTAACACAACACTTGAATAACATTGACGACACGGGCAGCGTAGAGTTCACTTATGAGTCAGAAACAGAAGGCAGCATAGCTTTTGTAGCGGAATATCGTTGGTAGATTCTTACACTTTTATTAAGGTCCAGAGATATCACTGATCCAAACCTGAGCTGGATCATTAATCTTTGGACCGGGCCCTTAGAATCAGAAGAGGTTGTTTTTACCACAGGGAGTTTTATTCAAACACCTTGTATTGAGTTAGAGACAAGAAGAGAGAGATGGGACGTTTAAGAATATTTATTTTATAATTATTTGAAACAATCACCAGGACTAACTCTCTAATGATGGACTTCAGGAGGAAGACATGAGACGCAATCTATGCCGATCTACGTACCGTGCGGAGACCTCCATGTTAGATCCGGATGCCAGGGTCCTCGGACCCTCCTTGGTGCTGGAACTGGTGAAACAGCGTCGGCAGCACGACAAACCAGTCTATGGATAGTCTCCCGGTACAACGGCAGGTTTTCAGCGTCACGTAGAGACCCCCCTTATTGGGTCAGAGAGTTCAGCTTTTATTCTGAAGGAACCGTCGTCTTGTTGGTAAAACGACAGAATTTTCCAGCTTGACAGTTCTCAGCTTAAAAGTAGAAAATACAGCTGGCCAGTCTGTACTTCACTTAGCGATGGTGGACATCAGATGGACTTGAGTGCTGGTTGAACTCACGTTGGAACATGCGGTGGAACTGAACTAAAATGGCGTTGTTCTGTTTTATTAAGCTTAGATGTTTTGGATTCTTAGCGAATCGGAGCGGACAGATTAACTAAACACCACAGAGCTCTGCCACGCATCAGAGAGGAAGTTCTGATTGGATGAGTGAACAATGTGTCATGTGTTTACCTTATGTGGATCAGGATGTCTAGCTCAGTTAGCCCAAGTCCTGTTATTCATTAAACACATAAATCATAACATTGTGATTTCACAGATCGGTCACCTGATTATTATTGACCAACAGTTGTTTTGATTAGCTTTATTAGAAATAAAGTTCTTTGATTAACTAATGAAAAGCGTTCTTCGTCCTTCTTCTGTCTTCTTTGCTGGAATGTAAACATCAGAAGC